GGTGTTCAATGGTGTTGTGATTTTATGAGGTAAAAAGGGATTGGAGCGGAATCGCAGTGCAATTTTTTTGCGCTATCGTGATGCACTGCCTTTCAATGATCTTTGAAAAAAGAATTTGAACGCTCGCGTACAGATCTACACAATCGCGAAACGAGACGCACGCGAACATAAGCGAAAATTAGTCACTTTTGTTCGCTCGTGTATATGTATATGCAGTGGCATACATTCAATCTTGTTTTGGGGGGAAGGGGGTAACAAAAATAATCGTTATTTTTTTTTTCGTTGCACAGATAAATAAGATAAATAACTGCTATTAAATAGATATTATTTTATACAACATTTTTACCAATTTACAGTTTACTTTTACATTACAGTAAATTAATAGCTATTGGAATACAAAAACAGCATAGTTAACAAAACTTTTCAAACACCTATCAATATAATTATTTAATTATCATAATATTTGTATAGTTGTATATTTTAAGTTCAAAGCGTAATAATGAAACTTCAAATATATTACACGTCATCAATAATAAAACAATTTTCTTTTTTTTTTGCCCCTGGGGGGGGGGGGGTTGACGTCTCAAAAACTGGCTGAGCGTTATGATTATAGCGTAATAATAGTAGGGGGACGCTAAAATTTCTGGAAATTAGTTGAGGTACTCCGTCCCCTTGCGTCCCCCACAAGTCGAGCACTGTTGTTATCTTTAAATAATATATTTATATTATATAAATTCAGTCATTTTAATTTTAATTTCCATACTTTCAATAGTAAAAAATGTATATTTACCTAATGGCTAATAATTATGATTTTATATTTTTTACTACTAAGTGATTTGTTTAACTATGCAAAGGAACTAATTTTTATTTTTTATTGAATTAGATTTATTTAATTACATTATGTGTATTATCCTTTAAACATATATATATTTATTTTATTTATTATTTGTATATAAATAAAATTCAATATTTTATTCCAATATCGAATTGTAATTTTCATCTATCTTTAAAAACATTTCCAGATGTTGGTATAATATTGTGTTTCACAATATTCACAATAAATTTTATAAATATGTGCTTAACTTTTAAACTCACTAGATACCATTATATTTTTTTCATGAGAAACTTCTGCAATAATGTGATAGCTTATGAGTAATGGTACTACTAGCAAATTATTTATAAATTCATCTATATTTTGTAAAATTTCTTCAGGTGTTTTAATGACTGTTGGTCTTTTACCTCTTAAATCAATATTTATAAATTATAATAACTATAAACTAATATGGTGTTAGTTGTTAATTTATATAAATTAGTTTTTACATTTCTATTTAGTACAATTAATAATACAAAAAGTATTACATAAAAAATAAAACATAAAGCATTATATTTTTACTGAAATGAAACAAAATTTTTATTTTTCATTCAAATTATATATTATATGAAATTTTACAAGCCTAAATGTTATAATTGTGAAATGTCACTTAACAATTTTATAATACTAAATGGTTGGATTTTCTGGTGTTTCCGAATTGCGTGCGCAATTTTCTCTCGACAGAGCCGAGTTGCGTGCGCAGTTTTCTTGCGACACAACCAAATTGTGCCGTGATTTTTTCAAATTTATCAATTTTTAATGTATATTTTTGTTATAAGTTTATATTTTTACGCATTCTTATTTAAATAGGAAATTGCTAAACAACATTAATAGACTAAAAAAATTATAAATGAACAAATATTAAATTTTGTGTTAATACATTAAAATAATATAAAAAGTTATTAAACAACGTCAAAAAAATATTAGTAAACATATAAATATACAAATTATTTAAAAATATAAGTATAAAAATGTTATAAAAATTAAAAATTAAACTGGCAAATTTTTGTATGCCAAAATTTCTACGAACTCCAAACGCGTTATAACTTGATCTTTATACTGACGCATAATTTCATGAATATAATTTTCTTTTTCCACTGTCATCCGTCGTTTTTGTGTTTGATTTGAGCTACGAATTTTGATGTTAACGTCAGTTTGTACATTTTTTAAAACTTCTAAAAATTGAAAAATATTTGGATACGAAAAGTAGAACATACTATTGAGTTTCGAATGAAACGATTTACAAGCATTAGTAGTACGCATTAAACTGTTAGAAAACTTCGCCCATATTGATGGTGGAAATTTACTACTTTGTAAAATGTAATTTTTTTCAAAACAGTCACAAAAAGCATTTAATTGCTGATTATTTGGTTTTATAATCATGAGATCTTCAAAAAAAAATTTTCCATTTTCTAATTTCTTTTTAAAGTTCTTACTTAGGCCAAGTGATTGGATTTTTCTCCGCATAGTCTGGCCCAAGTGAAAGCGACAGCCTACTTCGGGAAAAATCTCTAAAATTGCCAAGTGAATAGCTTGTTCGAAATAAGCGTAAATTATACGTAGTGTAAAAGTCAAATTTAATTCATCAATTTTACCTAACAAATTAGAAAATGCATCTTTATATATTTTTGTAGTTTTGCCTGTTAATAAAAAAAATACTAGTGGGGTATAATTTGAATTTTTAGCTCCATGGATAATAAATAATTGATAAAATGGTTTAGGACAACTTTTAAACGTACCATCAACATATAAAATGGCACATTTAGTAAAATATTTCATATTAGTTTGTGTTAAAAAAGCTATTATATATTTTTCTGAATTATTAATTAACAAAAATAAAACATCTCCATTTGTTTTGATTTTTCCTAAATTTGTTAGAGCCAAATGTAGTTCATCTAAATTTGTAGGTAACTTTGGAATCATTCTTGAACGTGCATAGTGAATATTTTTTCTTATACGTATCGTGTCTGTAGTAGTTAGACTACTTATATTTCCCTCGCGTAATTCTCGGTGTAAAATCTTACATGGTTTTTCAAACGGATCCTCCAAAGTTTTACGTTTTAATTTATTACTTACTTTTTGTCGAGTTAAAATATTAACATCGTTTTTTTCGTGGTCGTGGTTTAATACATTAAAAATAATTTCACTATTTTCATTTAATTTAAAAAATGATTTACACATACGTTTTATGCATGCCCATCTTTGAATATTATTATTTAAATATTTGTTAAAATGAAATTTATGGTCATATATTAAATATAGTTTTTTATTTTTTTCGCTAAACATAACACTAATTTCCATTTTTTTTTGTCGTTAGATCGATCTGATTGCTAACTATTAACTGATTGCTGAAAATTATAAATTGTATATATATTGTTACATACTTATCAAATTATGATCATTTCTAATTGCTATTCACTAATCCAGTGATTCTTATCCTTTTTTCATTCATGTCACCTTTAGCCAATAGAATTAAACACCGCGTCACCCTAACATCAAAATAATAAATAATCTTAACTGTGTATTTTAGAATAATTCTTGAAATAACAAAAACAATAAAAACAGAAGAAAACAGTAGAACACCTACAATTTATTGAGATGCATTGTTCAATAAACATTGATATTATAAAGTTTATACTTAAAATTAAAAAAAAAAAAAGAAAATTTTTTAAAGATTTTTATACTTGTTATTTATTTTATTTGTATATAATAATACTACATATCTAACGACTGTAAAATAACTAACGACCCCGGTTAAGTCGATAAAAAAATCGATAATACATCGATTTTGCGTTAATAACAATACTGCACGTATTCATTGGATCTAAATAATATAAAGATGTAAACTTAAAGGTATGCTATTTACATGACTGTTGTGGTAATATGATTTTATTAAAATTAATTTTTTTCTAATTTTTTTCCTTTTCCTGTGGAGATTTTGTGTCACCCCTACACTGTGTCCATGTCACCCTTGGGTGACATGTCACCCAGTTGAAAACCATTGCACTAATCTAATCTCATTCCTCGGAGAAAACTCATATTACTATCGAATTTACTATACTTAACTAAATATTACTATATTAAATTTATTACAGTATAAACTCAAATTATCAGCGAAAACTCATGATTTTATATTAATAGTATCTATTACTTATTTTTTATTTAAAAAACTAAAAAAATTACATTTAAATTTGCAGTTGAGTAGCCAAGGGAGAACGTTAAGAGGGCTACAGCTTTCTCATGGCCTGTATTTATATATGTATCGAAAACAGTAAATATGCATTTGTTTCAGTTGTATATTATAAATTAAATTGTATTAGTGTTATACTTATAACAGGTAGAAACTTTCATTTTTAATAAAACATGTATTCATTTTAGTTTAGAATATAGTGTAAAGATAATAAAAAGGATGACAGAATTTTAATTTTTTCAATTAATTAGAGATATTTTAATTCATAAATTAGAAATATAGGAGATGCAAAATTACATCTCCAAATATTATCTTTATTTGTACATCATCATAGATAGTTGGTATAAATATAAAATGTAGTTGCGGAACCTAATTCTTACAAAGTGTTTTTCATATATAATTTTTGTTAACATTATGTCATAATTAATGAATTAAATAATTATGTTTTATTGTACATTTATAATTAACCTAATAGAAAATCGCTTGGAGTACAATTAAAAATAAATAAATATGAAATACAAAATTAAAATAAAGTTTGATAGCAATCAGCGTTCATTTTATTATACACTCGTGTATATATATTAAAATCTACAAAATAAATATCTGGGAAAACAAAAAAAAGTTTTACATAGGTATATTTTCTATCGAAAAATATTTGTTTGTGTTAATGAATTGTAATGAATGTATACATGTACATTGTACATAAGACAAATAGTCAAAAAATATTATTATTAATATATTAAATAACAAATATAATATTTCAACAGCTCTTCATTTGACAATATCACACGGTCATTTGAAAAATCACGTAACGCTTTTTTTTTTTTTTTTTTTTTTTTTATGTTTTAATGTAGAATTTAGACATTTATTTTAAACTTTTGAGACTAAATTTTTCTAAAAAAAAAAAAAATACAATAAAGTAGTAGTAATAATAATAATAATAATAATAATAATAATAATAATAAAAAAGATAATAAGATAATAAGAAAAAAAGGCATTGAACATAAAATTTTCAACTAATACTTAGAGAGAATGATCATTTTGTTGTCTCTAAAGCGCTGTTGTATAATACTACATAGGTAAATAATACTTATACAAATAAAATTATGCCAGATCATTCAGTATTGTGACAACAAACTATTGATTCTATTTCCATACATCATACAATGTCACGGGATTGAAAAAATGTTTGTCCACATTACGAGTGTAATAATACTGGCTCCATAATTGAATTTAAAGCCTTAGAACTTTCCACATTATTTTCGTATAGGTCTTTGTTTTTCAGTGATTGTTCAGCTCCTAAACAGTAGTTTAAACATTATAAAAAAAGGTCAATTGGATGAATATTGGTTCACTTTAACATACCAGAAGGTCGAAGAACTAAATAGTGTAAAATATCAGATAATGAGAGAATTCCAATGACTTTATCTTCAGTGTCCACAATCACTAGCCTATGTACCTAAAAATATATTATAAGTAAAAATAAAAATAACACTAGAATTTAATTTGAGGAAATTTACTTCTGCACGGACAATTTTTTCAATAACATTAAATAATGTATCAGTCAGGTGGCATTTTTGTACACCCTCAAACCAATCACTTCGATATTCATTAGCTTGTTTTAGAGTAACATCTAAATTATTATAGGTACGTTCAGCAGCTAAATTCTGATAAAAATAAAAATAACATATATAGTTTAAATTAATGTATATATTTTCATGTATTATTGATGACTTACAATTACGTCGAATTTAGCAAATATATCAATGAGTCGACCTTCATGATCAACCATAGGTAAAGCAGATACTCTGCGTTCGACAAATTTCTTTAATGCTAGTATAATAGATGTATTTTCAGACACGGTTTCTATATTTTCATAAGTGCCAATTTTCAATTCTTCAAGACTCTTAGACAAGTAAGCAGGTTTTGGTAAATCATGAATCTAAAATGATAATTTGTATGTTATCTTAATGTTAATTGGTAATACTTATGATTAAACAATTATAAAATTCAATACCCTTACGTAAAGATGAAGAAAACGTAATATACGTTTATGTGTGACAATATAAAGAACATCTCCAGTGATTGGATCGATAACTGGAAGCCTGTGTATTTTATTATTTATTAATGTTTGAATAGCAAAATATAATGACATATCTGGCCCAATTGATATCAATTCTTGAGGTCGATCTTCATGTAATTCGTCTGAAGTATAACAATTTATAATTAAAATTTATTTTTCAATACCCAATAAGTTTTGCAGGTATTACTTCTCCAAGTATCCAACTTGTGTTCTTCTAATTCCTCCATGCTGGAAGATGATGAAGAATAATACTTTTGCAGTATCCTAATAAAGTCTGTAATTGTTAGCATACCCACAAATTTCTGCCGTTTGTTGTCCCATAATGGAGCTGCTCTAACACCATTGTAAACTAAGGCAAAGAATGCTTTTTTTACAATTAACTGCGTATCAAAGACAACTAATTTTGCACTAGTTGGTATGAGATCATAAGTTTTATGGAAACGGAAAAATTTCACAAAAATCTGACTTTCATCCTCAGCTGCAAAAAAAAAAAAAAAATAAATAAATAAATAAAAATAATTCAAAGTTAGTTAATTAATTATAGTTTTATAATTATAATTAACTATAAAATAAATATTTACCCAGATCTTTTATTTTAACTTTTTCTAAGAATGGATCAGCAACAGGAAGCTGTAAAATTATATGAATAATAAAAAAATAACATAAAATAAATTTAAAAATAGAGTTTGAATATTTAAACTCACTCCTCTGGAGTCACGGAATAATATGGCGGCATGTGTAGGATCTAAAAAGCTGTCAGAGTTTTTTCTCGAGTTGGATATTGTGCCCAGGGACAATCGGCGAGTTTCAGGATCTAGAGAACTTCTACGTAATAAAGCTCCTAGTTAATAATAATAAAACTAAAAATTAATACATTATGCATTATTTAAAGTAGCAAAATATAGAATATATGAATTATTTATATATGTATATTGTTTAATTCAATGATAAAAATCATAGTATTATTGATGTATTATATTTAATTTTTGTTGTTTCCCTTTCAATGTTAATGGGTTACGATCACAATGCACAGAAGACAATAATAAAATTAAAATGACAAATTGTAATCGATAAGGAATGATATATGTAATGAGTTATGCATATCCTCAATAGTAAAGGGTAAAACCAAAATTAATATATGATTAAAATAAACATTATATGTTTTAACTAAATTCTACTAGACATCAAAAACAACAAATTATATGCACACAACGCACTTAATTTAAGAAAAATACAGAAAACTATTTTAATTATGATAACTTTTATCTCATGTCATAAAAGGGCAAGAAATAAACGCGACGAGTCAATCAAAAAAATTAAATATTTTATAAAGATAATTTAAATTACAGAGCAGTCAATATAAATACCGCGTATTAAGTGACACAATATACAGTAAACTAAAATGTACGTAAAATGTATACATCTTCAGTATTTATAACTATAATATTTTTTTTTAAACGAGAAATAATATCGATTAGATTACTAATATAATATAGGTAATATCACTATTATAAACAAAAAAAAACTGAACTATAGGCATTTATTCTTATAAGAACCCTAATTTGTAGTGATAAGTAAAAATATTAAAAATATAAGTCACTAAAATACAGAAAAATAATACAATTCACTGTTACAATAAATTGTATACCATTGAAGTACTACAATGCGCATTAATGAACAACCAATGCAATGTTTTAATATATTCAAAACTGTATAATATATTAATGATAAAGTAAAAATAGTTGGGTATTATGGAGAAAAAACTTAAGTACTATACAAGAATTGACGTTAATTTTGGTTCAGTTTTAAAATGTATTTGTTTCAATTGATTTAATAATATAATTATAGAGAAAAATACATTACATACATATTTAAATATCCGTAAATAAATATATTAATGAAGGTAAATAATGTAATTTATAATTAATCATGGGTAATTTAAAGTTATTTAAAAAAATTATATATTGATGTGAGAAATTCAGAATTTTGATTAAAAACTATGAATATTGAATTGAAATAATGATCAACACACACACCCAATTAGAATTATAAATAAAAAAGTTTAGTAATATTGATAATTTGATAAAAAAAAACTTCAGCTCATAAATACGAATATTAGGTTTAACTAGGTTTAAATATATTGAATAAAGTATGAACTGTTTATTAAATCTATAAAAAAAAATACTTATACCAATGGTTCAAATAACAAATACACGGTTAAAAAAAATATATATTTGTTTAGATTTGGATTGTAATTTTAATTTTAATCATTAACTTTTTAAAAAATAATTATTAGAGATACGTTAGCTTAAATTAATTATGTGTCAATTGGAATATTTAATTTAGACAAAAAATGTTATAAATGATTATAATTGATCATATAATTTAGGACATTATAAAATAGTACGTACATATGTAATGTATTTGATATTCGATTTTAATTAAAAATAATTTGTTTTGTTTAAATGTTGTCATTTTTCTGTATACTAAACCTACAGTGGTTATAAAATATTAGTATATAACAATACATTAAAAAAATATTTGTTTATGAGACCTAATTCGCTGTTATTATTTAGCATAGAAGTTTGAAAAAAGACGTCCAACAAAAACATTTAACACTAATCTGATGTAGGTACACGGTATATTATTTTCCTTTGCGTTGTCATTTTATCAAAAGTAATTAAATCTAATAATTACCGAAGTTTTTTTTTTTTTTAGAATAACATTCAATTTGTAACGCAGATATGTCTTTACGCAATTCCAATAAACGTCAACGCTATCAAACCCAAAGAACAAACAAAAATTTTAAAGTACTAACGAGTTAAATATGATTTATAACGTAAGACAAGACAAATTGAAAAAATAATATGTAGTTTAAAAAAAAATATGTGTATAAATACATCGACAATAACCTAAACAAATGTTTCCACAACATTTTTCATCACCAACTTAAATACTGAATCGACGACCACAATAAATTTTAATCTTTAAATAATTGAGCCCCAAAAGTACAATACAAATTATAATTTTGCAATTATTTTTTTTCAACCGCGGAAGACAAACGGCCCTCGCGGTTACACATTTCGAATACGCGAAAACGGGTACAATCACAAACCGGTTACATTAAACTAGTTTTAAAAAGTTTCAACTACTTTATCGTATTAAAAGTGTTATTGCTCAGTGATTTCCTTCTTCAAATACACGAAAGGCAAAAAAAACCTGATCGAGATTTTCCAAGGACTACAACGTGTAGGTACAACTGTATAGGTATACAATATAAATCAACAGTATTGTACAGTTGTTAAATAAGTCGGAGTATCCGTGATGATACGCCAACTAAAAAACTCATGGTGATTAAAGTAGTATCGAGTGAACCCATTTTACGGAGTAGTCCGTTTACTACTACAAAAATTTTTTTTTTGTTTTGTTCGTTTTACTTTACAACTCTATTAAACGTTAAAATGTTTAAATTTCTCATTATATATATGTTTATAGATTATCATGTATAACAATTTTTAATTTATCTAATCAAATTTAGCCTAAAAGATGCAGTTATAAGCAAGAACCACAATTTTTTTTCTGGGGCAGTACCAATAATCCCGGTTACAAGCATGCTCTCTAGCATCCTCTGGACTGTAACACCTATCATCCGGCAAGCTACGGGCCACAGCTACATCATAGAACACGCAAATAATATCACATTACGTGCGTAGGTTTGTACGTTACAGTATGCAGGATACCATTATAATATCGAAATTCTACGACAGTCGAAGAGTCAACTGTTGAAAGAACACGATCTTACGGTAATTTTACCACGAAAATCTGTGATACAATACAGTATTTATTAATATTGCTGAAAGATTATAATTATAGTGTATATTATAAAGGTTATAAAGGTGGTGTTGGGAAGGCTCGAAAATGGCTGGTTAAGTATAATATTGGCACGAAAAACACGTCAGCAGTAGCCAGAGGAAAAATTAATAGAAAACGAAATTCATGGTCACGCGACGGTCAAAATACGCTTGTACTTAATGTCACTGAATATATTCAAAAGGTGAGCAGACCACTACATTTTATTACCGCTGTTGACAAGGAAATTCGTTGGACCGATGTAACCAAAACCACACAATAGATTATTACGATTATAAAGAATTATTTATTAGTACGAACCGATAAATGAAAACAACTTACACACACACTTCAATAACAACAGCAGTGAAGAATATAATGGATAAAACAACTTTCTTTATATATGATTTTTATGTTTTGATATGTTCATAGATAGGTTATAAGTATGTACAGGGAATAGAAAATTGCTCTCGGAGTAGAATTATAGAGAAATCGACGATCGATCTTAGTATATAATATATATTTATATGTATACAACACGTAGCTTGCCATTGATCGGGTTACGTGATTTTTACATTTTCCAATAGTTTCTCGATCATTTTTTTTTATGATTATTCTCTGAAGCGGCATAATTAGATAATAGGTTTACCGTAGACGGTTTATAGCAAGTCGAGATCGCATTATTACAATATTATATTGTTGTTGCGATTGTTTTTGTTTTATAACCCGACAAAAACAGTTGATCCATAAGTTCAATGACAAGGTATGGTTTAAAATAAAATTATAGATACGGTCATACAGGTGCCAATTGGCAATTACTCGTGCGAATAATGATGAGAAATGTACGCGGCATCACAAAAACAAACGCATGGTAAATACACGGCAACACGGACGAAAAACAACACCATAAGCAACTTTAAGAATTCTCGAGGATAGTCTTGGATACGTTTAGAAAATCGTTCAATATTTACAAAAAAAACTCCAAGAATCCGATTTAAAGTCCGTATTACGTGGAATAATCGAATAAATAAATTATAATAAATTACGTAAATAATATGCGTAATTTTTTTCGGTAAACTGTTCTTATCGCCGGTGTATACCACCTAACACAAAGATCTATTATACGGTATTATGCCACTTGAGAATTCCGATCAGACAATTCACACATCGCGCAATAATTTTTATTACATATGTTTAATCCCACAGTTTGTAAACATTTAAGACGTAAAAACGAGAGAAAAGAAACTCGCCATTGTGCAGCGAATATCATAACGTGACTGCATTCTAAACGTTGCGACGACGCGGTGCACAGTACTCAAGATAAAGTTTAGGTAACTCGGAGCTGCATAGTACACCATCCGTACGCAATCTGAACCGATTTTTTTCAATGCATATACCTTCTCTGAGAATGCTTTCGAATATCTTATACGCGTCGCCGCTGTCGAGCCGAGCAGAACCGGTGACGGCGCCGAGTTGCGCTTTCCGGGTGCCGTCGTCCAGCGACTTGGACCGGTTCCGGAACTGTCCGTCTTTGGGCACGTCCAACAGGCACGAAGTTTGGTGCTTCGCTTGGTCCGCCACCGACGGCGGCGCGGGCGGCATGAGCGTGGTGCTCTTGGTGCCGGTCAGAGCACGGTAAGCGTCTTGCAGGAACGACGTGCGCGGCGACGAGCGTCTGCTCGGACTCGGCGACCGGGACGACGGCGACAGCGAGTAAACGTTTTTCCGTGCGGGTTTCGGTGCGATCGGCTCGTCGTCGGGCGGCGTGATGTGACACACCACGTGCGACTTGGGCACGGCCAGACATATCGGCTTGGCCGGCGCCCCTACTTCCATTGTCACGCGAAAAAGCGATCTTTCCCCGGCGGTTTCGTCGGTCACTGTTCCAGTCGCACGGTTTTCGTATCTATCTATTTATTTCAAATATACGCAGCTCACACGAAAATGCGGGAGAATAAACCACAACGGCAATACTTGCGACGTGTTTTCTCTACGCGCGAACACGCATTCGTATACTTCACAAGTGGACACGCAAAATCACGAACAATATTATACTTTCGAATATCGTTTAACAAGACGTATACTATCATTCGCGGTGCGGTCACTCGTTATCTACCAGTCGGTGTTAACGTAACACGACGGTAAAACAATATATTCGACTGTTCCGTTCTACTCGGCGGCAAAACACAGAACACGCGAGCGCGCGCTCTCGGGAAAAACGAACGTTACGGAAAACGTGCGTACACGACTGGTTCGAAAACGAAGCGTGACCCGGGTCGGCCGCCGCTGCTATAAGAACCACCGCCGGCGGCGCGCACTTCCTTCTCCCGCCCGACTGACGACGGTCAGAAGCGCTGCACAATCCGATGGAAGGGCGGCCTACGGACGGACGAAGGCGACGTCCGACGAGCGACCGGTCTCACGTACACAAACAGTTGGCGCGCACGCACGTACAACGCACTATGTGGTTACATCAACAAGGTACAAATCGACTTTGACCAAGTGTGTGTGTGTGTGTGTGTGTGTGATGTGTACCACCTACGAGATCAGCACATCGCACAGCGGAACAACGTCAAAGGTCAATGACGAATACATTTTCATGTATGCAATGTGCAACAGTAGGGTACACACAACACTATACGGTACTGTATAATGTACTGTACGGCGAACTTTAGAACCGAATATAATTTGAAGGTATAAAGGTTAGAAAATTATTTTTCATTACTTGAACGCACGAAATCGAGTTTTGTAATTACCGCAGCAAATGACAAATGTTTGTGTTGCAATTGTTTATACTTTCGAGCACCGCTATTTTATAAAAAAAAAGTCCAATAAAAACTAACCTATAAAACCAGAGTTAAAATCAAATAATTAACGAACAAAAAATCGTTGAAGATTTAAAGTTAAAAAAAAAAAAATAAATAATACAGTCATCCAGTCAATAGTAGCATAAAATAGATTAGGTGTTGTGAATGTACCGGTGTTTTTGTAACAGAATATTTTGAAATACATATAATATATATTACGTTACTTCTATATTATAACAATATTATATTGGTTGTACGGTATAACTTATATCAAACCATGTAATTTAAAATCTGAATATTTTATAGTCAAAATTCCCGTAATAATAACCCAAAGTTTCATACGTGTTTGTTAATAATTGTATTTCCCAATTGAATTCTTTGATCATGAAAACTTATCAAATTAATTCTATTAAATAAGATCATGTGGTCATACATATTTTTAACAGATATACATTTGATTATAAAACAATATGTACAGTTATAAAATAGTGTTTACCAATATAATAGGTATATATTATACAAATACAATATTTATACTATTAATTTCTATATTCTGTGCTAAGTAGATAAATTATATATTTTAAAAGTTTTTATAAAAGCATATTTAAAAAACTATTAATACGTTTACAAATTCTCTTTTTATTCAACTACTTACCACCTCTGAAAAATAAGCTGAATATGAATATAGTTTTAATAAAAAAATTGTATGTATATATGTAAAGTATACCGTTGATTGTAATAAAATATAAATAGCATCACGATGACATTTGTAAGAAATTAGTAGTAGGACTGGTGTACTTCACACAATTACATGGTTTTAAATTAATTAGTCAAAAACATAATGCAATGATATAAAGAAAATATTTTAATTTCACATATAATAATAATTTCAAAATACAGTTGGATTGAATTAAAAAATAACAAGCGTAAATAGTATACATATTTTATTAAGTAAATAATTTTTTTTTTTTTTTTAAAGCATTACTCTAAAATTAAAATCTTAAATTAATTCCAAAAATATTTAAATAATATGTTAATCTCGCATATATTATTCAGTTTTAATTACAATATTTCATCTTATTTATCTTAAATGTTGATAAATTATATTCTTAGATAGATCTTGAACAAATATAGAATAATTGAATATTCGTAAAAATAATTATGTATTTATGTACTCATTTTATAATAAATAAATTATCGAGTTTCTTGTACTTAATTCAGAAAACTAGTAAACAAATCGATAAATGACTATCCGAAATAACCATTAGTGTCCAAAGGTTGTTTTATACAACATTGGTGTGATTTAATACAAATAAAAAAAAATTAACGTAGGATAATCAATACATTCCTCGTTTTGATCAAAATTTAAAATAGTAATTTATTAAAATGTATGATCCATAATACGAAAGTTTTTTAAAAATTTAAATAAGGTAAATGAACATAATGCAGAAAAAAACTAATTTAATTTATTAATTTCCATTTATAACATACTCATATTATAACAGATTATAATATAAATTAAGTAGAATAATCAATATAATTGAAATACCTAGTCTTATTTATAAAATATCATATATTACCTTTAAATAAATTTAAATCTGTAAAAAATTATTCCAGACTAATATTTATGCTCGTTAAGTGTGAAAACCAACAATAAAATGGTACTTTTACGTAATGCAAACTAGGTATATTTGTAACTCTTGCTAAACAAATCTATGTTCGTAAGAAAATCATGTATGAGTGAAATTTAAAAAGTACATCCAATTTTTCCTTTATTAGTTGTCATTAAGTCACGTAAGTGAAATTAATTAATTAAAATCAGAATATTATAATCCTACCCATATAAGTTATAAGGTTAATGTATAAAAATTAGATTATTTTATAGATAACGTACATTTTTTAAATTAAATCAAGAGAGAAGTTAATTTAGTTTTAATTAAATGTTGGATTAAATTTAAAAATTAACTAAAATGTTTTCTAAATAAGTTTTTAATTGAATATATCTTAAAAAATTAAAAAGGTTAATCAATTTCAAATTTACTTAAAAACATGATCTCTTTTAAACCGTCATAACAAATTAAGCCAAAAATATTCACTACTTCTATATAAGCAACATTTACATCCACTTACACTTACAAAAGCCACACCAGCATGGCTGAATCCAAAAACGCATATTAATAAGTACAAAAACAAGTATTTCAATCAAAATTTTTAAATCTTAAAATAAAAGCCATACTATATGTTTATTAAAAACAAGACACTTCGCAACTATTTCCAAATTCCCACCATCAGAAATTAAATAAAATACTATAGAACAAGTTTGAAGGGCAGTTATCAAAATAAAAATAATAATCTTATCATATTTTTGAACTCGAATAACATACATAACAACATATGTGGTACTCAATAAAATTATTCGAAAAAAGTTGTCTTTTTTTTTTAAACTTAAAAACTGATTGTATAAAAGTTATAAAAAAAATAAACCATCCTTACTTTTGATAACCGATTTTTTTTGTAATATGGATAAGTTATACTTTTGAAAATTAAAAATTTAAAAAAACACCTTCTTAGAAAATAATGTATGTATCTTATAATTGATTCCCTAACAGAATAATAAAATCAATTCCAAAAAAAAATGATAATATCATTTAATAGTTGAATCTAATCTATACATATAATACCTACAGAATATATTATGTATGTGTTGATCAGAGCCAACTATTAAAGACTTGAGTTTTTTTTTTAGGTTATCACGATCAACCAGCCAAATAAAATAAGCCAAAATATATACTTGTACGTTACACTTCTTTTTTTTTAAATATTAATAAGTTATAATAACTTTGATTTTAAAATTTTACATAATATGTATTTTAGTATATTTTTCATAAATTTATAAGAACGCGATAAATCTTGTTATTAATACGGAATATCCATTAGATTGCATATAGACCTACATAGCTACTAGATCTTATTGAATAATTTCGTTTTTCATAGTTATTTATTACTATATATTACTATAATTGTTATTAATCTAATTTTTATATTCGTGGGTTAAACAAAAATAAAGTAATGTTTTAAAAATGTGTTTTGAAAAAAAAAAATGAAATTAAGTCAGGATTGATTCAAACTTATGTCGTGGTTGACCTGTTGGCCAGCCCTGATATATATATTACTGAATCTACTATAACTGACAGGTAAACTATGGTAAAACGAAATTAAATTTGATCTCAATTACTAAAATTTTTTAATGTGGTTATAGATGTTTCAGTTTAAGTAGACAGATCAGTTATTGTAATACAATGCCAAAGATGATATTTGAGCAAGTTAAATAATAAATAGTTAATTCCCATAACGACTAGGTATTGTAATACAATCTGGCCCGTATTTATGGGGGGGGGGGGGGGGAGTAGGCACATGCCCGGGGACGTCAAGTCTCAGAGGCGGCAAAATATTTTGGCAAAATTAATTATAAAAATGATGTACCTAACGAAAAAGAAAACAGTATGATTTATTATGTTATAATTTGTTAATTAAAAAAAAAAGGAAAATGTATGTTTAATTCGTTAATTAAAAAAATTATTAAACGATTTTCATTTGTAAGTTATATTTTAATATTAAAGAATCTCGATTAAGGACGAAATAAAAGTGTTATATTATTATTTATTTATTGTTTTTTTTTTTTTTTTGGGGAGGGAGGCATAAATTATAGTGTTATATCAATAAAGTATCCTTTATTTAGTTGTCAAAACTTTGTTCTGTCAGTGTTTAAACTTGATTTATCCACTTGATCCATAACATAAGATATAAATGTAAGAATTATAAATAATTGATGTTATAGATGTTAAAAAATTAAAGTTGTACTTTCTTCTATTAAATTAATTATACATAATTAATTTTAAGCTAACAAAAAATATTTGAAAAATATTTTAACAATTAAAACACAAAAAATACATTTTTTTAATGAAATAAGATGACTATCTCTCACTCCATTTATCTAAATTTAATTTAAGATAATCAATCGAGAGTGTTAAACTTTACACCAACATCATTTTTAATTCTAAAGTAACAAAATTGACGTCAGAGATAAATAAATGTAATCATATGTAATCATCGATATATAAACAACAACAAGAATGCAATTTTTATCAGTATATAAAACTTCAAAATAAAGTGACATAATATATGTATTAATTGTGTACTCACCTTGTGCGAGATTTGTATGTTGAATATTTGCTGCTTTCTGTAAAATAAAATAAATATAAATTTAGTTCAGTAAGACTATGTAAGACAGTGAGAAAACAAGGTTGAGTATGTATTCAATGTCAATTTATTATCACGTCCCTAGTAATAATTCAAGTATTTCTAGTTTCAAGTAACTTAACACTACATAAAAAAATCAAAAATCATATATATATTTCATAAAATAAATTATTTCACGAACTTAAAAATATTAACTGGTATCAATTATGATAAATATTCATTAATTATTTGTAACAGTAAATAAGTAATTTCCTTCAGTATCATTGATAGAAATTATTCAAATAAATAATAACAATTTATACCAGAACATTATAAATTCTAGATAATTTATGGTATTTAAAAGCTAAAAATTCAGTAGAACGAGATTTACATTGGATATCTACAACTTTTTAAACCACTGTGAAATATTATTAAACATGTACACTTGTATTCAGGGCCGGCATTTTCAAAATGGACTTGTAAATTTTTTTTAGTTGTATAGGTGTTTTATAAGAAATATATTTAAATTAATTCATTCGTGAAAATTATTTACCTACATAATAAAATAATATCGTCTAAATTTATTACATTACGGGCTACGCTGGGCGTTTTCAATTATTCCAAAAATATAAATGACGACACAACTTCCGATAGTCGCAATAGTGATGGATTTCAAGTAATAATTATAGAAATCATATTTAAGTCTTTTTACATATAATTTTTTTTTATGTCACATAAAAAATAGGGAAGGGGCTAAGTTAAAATAAGAGCTCAATTTTTTTTTAGAAGCGGCAAAATTCGATTTTGCTAGTGCATTATTTTTTTTGGGACGGCCCTCCTTGTATTTCGTGGAAAATATAACACTGTAAGTTACGAAATAATCCTACAATAAACAGCAATATTGTTAACTATGGCTTATATACATATAAACATACATTATTAATAATTTTAATTCATCAATACTTTTTAAAACTCAATAAATATTTTAGAGAATATAATTATAAAATTAAGTATAATTGTTAAATTATAAGATCTGGATTTATGTAAAAACAAATACAAGCAAATATTAACATATTCAAAGAATACATTTTTTTTTTTTTTTAGTACAGACTTATTTTCAAATTTTACAATATTTAGATTTATAATTAGGAACTTTACTCCGTAGAACGATTTTACAGTAGTTCAGAAGTATTATATGCAGTGATTGAGGGTATTTAATAATCCCATTAGGAAAATTGAAGATTATACGTGTATATCTACAAAAATATTCTAGGTGAAACTCAATATTTTCTTAGAGATTACATTTTTAACAAACTATTACTTACAGAATAATTGAATTGAATAACAAATTTTAATTCATTTTATTTGAAAAAAAATGTTATTATCTCTGTTATCATCAATACAACTGAATTTTATTAAGCATACAGAACAAGGGCGTACCCGTGGGGGGGGTCAGGTCCGGACCCCTTCCATTGAAAATTCTACATACTCAACGGTTTAATAGTAAATAGTATAATAATAATACATAGTGTATTTTAATTTCCCATTATCTTCAATATACAAAGTTAATAGATTATATAATATACCTATGATGTATAAATCATACTATAGTATATTAACAGTAATTTGTTGGAATTGAGTTAAACAATAATTATAAGATAAAATAAAAATTTTGGACCCCCCCCATAAAAAATTCCTAGATACGCTCCTGATACAGATGTATGCGTTTTTTTTTGTAGTCAGATTACGTTTGATAAATCTTACTAAATCTTATGTTTTTAGAGATAATTTTAAACTTTTTATGAAACTAAGTAAATAATATTAATAAATAGGTAATCAATTATTTATATAAAGATTGATAATGATAATTTTTAAAATTCGTGTGAACTTTACAATTAGTTTAGTTATTATAAACACTTAAGAATAATCATTTTTTTTTTTTTATACAAAATATTATTATAATTTAACACTTACTAATAAATTAAATCAATAATATTTAACCTTAAAAGTCATAATCAACTAAGTGTATTATTTTTAATCATTACGTATATTATTAATTTTCATTTAATAACAACTCTGTATTAAAAGAAAAACTAAGTATTTCCCAAATATATCTACAGGTATCATATTATAGTTTATAATGGTGAGAACATTTGAACTTGGTAACCAGTGCTCCACTATTTTAAATTAATACAACCTCGTGGGAAACCCCTGTCTATAATAGAGATTAGTGCATTCATTTATTTTTATTTTGATTAACATGATTTAACAATTTTAATACAATGATCAGATAAACATAACGTTAATTATTGAACAATGCAATTTAAATTTATGACTTAAATGGCATTAGTATAAACATTTACAATTTATAATAATGATATTTTTATATTAATAAATATTGAATTCATAAAATCAACAAACAAAATCATAGTATATGAACTTCATTTTATACGATAGATATAATTTGGTTATAAGTATAAAACCTAATTTTTTATATTATTATACTAAAAATCTAGTTTATTATTAGATAAATTATTTGAAGGCTGAACAAGTTATTTTACAAGCAAAAAAACTAATGTATTAATATAGTTCCATTGAAATAAACGGTCAAGGAAGTCTAGTAAAATAAAAAACATTAGGTTGACGTAGACAAAACACATCATCATTTATTCTTAAATAAATGAAAGTACGTGTTCAATTATTCAATTTACTCATCATTTAATCTGTGCGACATTGTTTTTGGACTTTTTCATTTGTTTTTCATTATTTTGTATCCAAGTCCAAGTAAATATTTAGTTAATTTCACCACAACCGAATGAATAGAAAATAGTGAAAAAATATGTTCATCATTATTTAAGTTCTAACGCTTTAAGGTAAAATATTAAAGAAAAACAGAAAAAAATATATTTTATTCATATATTCAATACAAATTTATTTATTTTGTAAAAATAAAATTGTAATAAGATTATTCGGAACGGGTATCACAGAAAATATCATGGTTATGTATTTTATACATAATATATTTTTTCATTATTATACCCAAAAATATATTTTATAATTATAATTTTATTAAAATTAAGATATATTATAAGCGAAAAACAATATTATTAACCGAGAGCTGTTAAAAAAAAGTTAGTAGATAGTAACTCCTCTTAAGATATTAATCTAATTATAAGATTAATATAATATATAATAAGATTAATCATCCCAAAACTGTCACGTATATTATATATTACATAACTATTATCTGAAAATTTTATATATTACAGTATAATTAATATATAATGTAATATAAATATTCCAAAAATAGTCCAGCAGTTGCAAACTGTGTGAAAAACGAGACAAAAAATTATCCAGACTGCCCTACCCATACTAGAGAAAGAATACAAAATTGTAGGACAGACTACGGATTAAGAAGACGGAAAGTTGACCCGGAATAAAAAATAAAAGGAGACAACTCATCAAAACATCACAATTCTTCCTACCACCAGAGGATATGGTGACAAACTGCTCAATTTGACGCGAAAGGTTACTAAAAGGAATGGCTCACCATTAGCCGATCTAACCGTTGATTAAAATAGTGCGAGACTCTTCTAGAAGAAGTGTCGGGTTGATCAAATAATATTAACTTAAAACTTAATTGGTATCATAGAAGAGCCCCATCATATATCGGACCGACTTTTCACTCCGAATGTGATGCCACTCAAGTTTGAGGTGCCTATTTTGGCTGAAAGGTGGTGGTTGTGAGACCGGCGCTAGATATTATGTACTGGTTCATCAATTGCGATATGAAAGGAGAAAGAATCGATCAAATTAAAATTCCAAGTAAACAGAAATGAATTGGAGGGTATACAAAGATATACGTTGTATACAGGGTTTAAGGTGGTAAAAAAGGGCAGGGGGACTTTAATCCATATATTATACTCAGCGTTCCATGAAGTCCTGTACAATTACTAGGTTATTAACTATAAATAGGCATATATATGTTATGAGGTGTTGTTGGTGAATAATTTTCTACAAAAATTACTCATGTGCTGTAAAAATGAACGAACTTGTAAATTACTTATTTATTGTGTTAAATAAATGAATATCTTTGTAAAAATATATTTTAATAAAATAAAATAAATTAAAAAAACGTATTTATAATTATATATTGCTATATAATTTATAATTAATATTAGTTTTGTTTATAGAACTTAACACCTAGTGACACCAATTAAATTGCAAAGCCAATTTTTCAACTGTTTTATTGTGTATGATTATTTTTATCAAACAGTTGAGCGTTTCAGTAAACTTTTCGGAGAAATATTAAAGCGGACGCTTTGTAAGTGACAAAGGTAGGAGTCCCCTTGCGTCCCCCCACTTTAAGCCCTGTCTGTATACCCATAACAAATTTTGTAAAAAAATGTCTACGCAAAATACAGTATTTATGTTATAGGCGTACAGTGGGTATATGGGCGGGATCGTACCTAATAGATAGTAATTATACTAATATACTATTATTTCAGTCAAGAGTCAATATTTTTTTTTCTTTAGATTACACGAACTTATCCATAGTGAAAAATTAAATTTGGGAGTAAACTAGTAAAATATATTGAATTTTAGCAGAACTAATTTTTATACAAAGTATGTACCAAGTTGAAAAGTTGTATGTATTTACTTATTGCATTTGAGCGATGAGAAAATATTTTTTTTTCGTTTTCATTTGTAGAAAATGGCGTATACCCAAAATATTTTTAACACTGCTAGTAAAGCAGTATGGATAATGTAGAATCTAACTGCAAAAACCAACCATAAGGTTGAACACGAGAAAATAATTTTAAATACAATTTGGTATTGTACTTATAAGACGCGTTAAAATTACAAGAACTCATACAAAACAAATGTGTACATATGACTCTCGATAGTTATTTAATAAAACAATTAACAAATGAACACGAATAGCCTTGTATTCAAATTTGATAATTTAACACCTAAGGTTAATAAATTCCAAAATCTAAA